AATGATTTCTTTGCTTCAGTTTTCACGGCTGAGGATGTTGGGGAGATTCCTGAATCTGCACCGTCCTTTGTGGGTGATGAATCTGAGGAACTGTCCCGGATTGAAGTGTCATTAGAGGAGGTTTTGGAACAAATAGAAAAACTTAATGTTAACAAATCTCCGGGACCGGATGGCATTCATCCAAGGGTTCTAAAAGAACTTAAATGGGAAATTGCTGAGCTATTATCTGTGGTTTGTAACCTATCCTTTAAATCGGCTTCTGTACCTAATGACTGGAAGGTAGCCAACGTGACACCAATATTTAAAAAGGGGCGATCCTGGCAATTACAGACCGGTAAGTCTAACTTCAGTACCGGGCAAATTAGTCGAAACAATAGTAAAGAATAAAATTGTGAAGCATGTAGAAGAACATAATTTGTTGGACAAAAGTCAACATGGTTTCTGTAAAGGGAAATCCTGTCTTACTAATCTATTAGAGTTCTTTGAAGGGGTTAACAAACATGCGGACAAGGGGGATCCAGTAGATATAGTATACTTGGATTTTCAGAAAGCCTTTGACAAGGTCCCTCACCAAAGGCTCTTGTGTAAATTACATGGCCATGGGATAAGAGGGAAGGTCCTTTCTTGGATTGAGAACTGGTTAAAAGACAGGAAACAAAGGGTAGGAATAAATGGTAAATTTTCAGATTGGAGAGGGGTAACTAGTGGTGTACCCCAAGGGTCAGTCCTGGGACCAATCCTTTTCAACTTATTCATAAATGATCTGGAGAAAGGGGTAAGCAGTGAGGTAGTAAAGTTTGCAGATGATACCAAACTGTTTAGGATAGTCAAGACAGAAGCAGACTGTGAGGGACTCCAAGAAGATCTCACCAAACTGAGTGATTGGGCAACAAAATGGCAAATGAAATTTAATGTGGATAAGTGTAAAGTAATGCACATCGGGAAAAATAACCCCAACTATACGTACAGTATGATGGGGGCTAATTTGGCTACGACAAATCAGGAAAGAGATCTTGGAGTTATCGTGGACAGTTCTCTGAACACTTCCACGCAGTGTGCAGCGGCGGTCAAAAAGGCAAATAGGATGCTAGGAATTATTAGGAAAGGGATAGAAAATAAGACCCAGAATATCTTACTGCCCCTGTATAAAACTATGGTACGCCCACATCTTGAATACTGTGTACAGATGTGGTCTCCTCACCTCAAAAAAGATATTTTGGCCTTGGAAAGGGTTCAGAAAAGGGCAACTAAAATGATTAGGGGTTTGGAACGGGTCCCATATGAGGAGAGGTTAAAGCGACTGGGATTTTTCAGTTTAGAAAAGAGGAGACTGAGGGGGGATATGATAGAGGTCTATAAAATCATGAGTGGTGTGGAGAGGGCTGATAAAGAAAAGTTATTTATTAGTTCCCATAATAGAAGAACTAGAGGACACCAAATGAAATTAATGGGTAGCAGGTTTAAAACTAATAAAAGAAAGTTCTTCTTCACACAGCGTGTAGTCAACCCGTGGAACTCCTTGCCAGAGGAGGCTGTAAAGGCTAGGACTATAATAGAGTTTAAAGAGAAGCTGGATAAATTCATGGAGGTTAGGTCCATAAAAGGCTATTAGCCAGGGGATAAAATGGGGTCCTTGGCCTCTGTTTGTCAGAGGCTGGAAAGGGATGGCAGGAGACAAATCGCTTGATCATTGTCTTTGGTTCACCCTCTCTGGGGCACCTGGTGCTGGCCACTGTTGGTAGACAGGATACTGGGCTAGATGGACCTTTGATCTGACCCAGTACGGCCATTCTTATGTTCTTATCCTCCCCTTCAGCAGAACTTTAACAGCTCCCAGTCACCAGGATGCCCAGGTCCCCAGGCTTCAGAAGTGCCTCCTGCAGGGAGGTTATGCCCACCGCTGACAGGCACAGCCAGTGTGTCCACTCTCTGGGAAAGGGGCATATCCCCCAGAAATGTGTCCACTGTGCCAAAATAAAGTCCAGGGCATGCAGAGACAGGGATCTGAGGCTGAAACCCCTCCTAATGGAGAAGTCCCTTTGACCAGCCTCCGACCTGGAATAAGGGGGATGCTCAGCAAAGGACTCCCAGCAAGGTCCCTCACAATGTCCCCAAAGCTGCTTAAAGTGCAAAAAGGCAGCAGGCACCTTCACCGCAGAGAGCACAAAAGAGAAAGCACCTTGGTGCTGAAGCAGGGACTCATTACTCTTCTCCTGCAAAGCACTCTACAGCTCTGTCAGTAGAGTCCTGCAAATCTGCAGATATCCACTTTATATCCACAGGTATCCGCATCTGTGGACACGGACGCAGTTATCAGTGGCTCACTTTTGTGCATACAGATGTGAATGTGGACACAAATTTTGTATCTGCACAGGACTCTGTCAGCTCAGGCTGCAGTACTGCAATTATTGTGTAACTGGCCACACTACAGGATTATACTTACCACGGAGACTTGCAAGTCTCCTCGATGCCAGCCTCCTCATGCTTGTGACACCCCTCTCACCTACCTCAAAGGAACTGCACTACAGCTACTCACAGGAGGGTTCCTCCTTTTCCACAGATGAGGACACAGGCTTTTCTCCTCACCACTCGCCTCCTTGAAGACCAAAGACTTGACAGACAGCCAATGTACCAGCCCTATTACAACTAACCACCACAGTGGTATGGGCACCAATGGGTGTCCATAGTTCATAGAACCTGCACAGTTCTCTAGTCCCTGGCCAGAATGGAATCTATGGGGACTCTATATATCCTACTGCAAATAACAGGACTCCATTGAAATTCCACTGTTACCTCTACAACCCTATGAGGCAGGGGAACAGGACTTACCCATCACTGACCAACAAGAGGACATAGTCTATGATACATCTTAACCTAATGAGGCCCCTATGTCATTTGATGAGGCTGCTTCCACTCTCACTGCCACCCACGGTGGATAATTATACCCATTTCCAAGACCTCTTTAAACATATGGCAACAGAACTCCACATAGATATGAAGGTGTCAGAAACTCAACATGAGTTGGCCAACATACTACAGCCACCCTCCTTGGCTAACATAGCTTTACCTATCAATGTAGTGATTCTAGACCTGGCAAAATCAGTGTGGTAGACACCAGCCACAGCAGCACCAAACGGCAAGAGAGCAGATCCCAAATACTATGTGCCTCAAAAGGGCTCAGAATATCTCTTAATCCACCATGCTCCAAATTCACTAGTGGTGGAGCTGGCAATAAAAAGGTCTAAACAACAAGTCTAGAAATTCCCCTGGCATAGATAATAAGAGACTGGACATCTTTGGCCACAATGTTTACATTTCATCCACACTCCAATTCAGGGTTGCAAATTACACTGCACTACTTGCTAAATATGACCACAAAAACAATGCAAAGTTTACAAATGTTATTAAGGATTTCCCAGAGAACAAAAGGCAACTGTTTCAAGTCCTCATCACAGACAGACAAACAATTGACTGTGCTACCCTCCAAGAGGCTCTTGATACCGTGGATGCAGCTGCTTGAGCCACAGCCCACAGCTTTAGTCATGAGGCAGGCCTCCTGGTGCAACTCCACCACATTCTCTTCACAGCAACAACCAATGAGGTGCTTTACTCCATGAAGGATTCTCAAGCCACTCTTCAATCTCTGAGCATGCAGACACCAGCCACAATAAGATGCCAGTTTAGATACCTACCATACCAGAGAAACAGATACTCATATTACTCTCCACTTGCAGAGATCCCTAAGTTTATTTCAAGTTTCCACTCCTATTCAATAAATCTGAGTTACTGCTAGGTAAAATAATAGGGTGCTTTGAGATCAAATATCTGCAATATACATGGGACACCCATTCATGTGTCTTTGATGTAAATAAGCTCCTAGAGGAAGGGCTGAACTGTGGCTGATAGAAACTGGCAGAAGTGACCACAGTTAGTGTTGTAGGCCTCTGTCCTCCAATCATCAAGTGATACATAATCTTTTAATCAGCATGACTCTGTTGTTACTCCTACATGCTCTGAAAAGCAACAGGTCAGGTACTATAAATATGACCTTTAATCTTTGGCTAGAGAAATAAAAACTTAGAATTGTATAACAAAATGTGTGTGTGTTTATAAAAACACATATTTTACTTCCACACCTAAACAAACAAAAACCTAGCACAAGATCCAATACATTTTATGACAGGCTGATGGTGAAGTATACCTCCAACATATTTTAAAATCTCATTGTTAATTTGAATAACCTTAGTATTCATTTATGTTGCATTAAAGGAAGATGCAGGGTTTTTTGGGGGTGTTTTTATTTAATTAGTTTTGTTTTTCATATTCTAGAGTATCTAGAATGCATTATAAAGTAGTTTGGGTGTTATCTATTTGTATTACTGTTGAATAATGTGGGTTTTGCCCACGGAAGCTCATGATACTATATATGTTTGTTAGTCTCTCAAGATGCCACAGGCCCACAGGTCACTTTTAATCAGTTTTGTTCAGAATAATCCTAGTATGGATTAGGGCAGTTAAAGAAACACCGTACAAAACAGGGGGAGGAGGGGCCCCTTAATGTATATTTATAGATAACTACTGTATGATGAAAATGGGGAATGAAGGATTTAATAGTGAAACAAAAGATTCAGGCATGCAGAAACAATAGTTTGGGGGAAGGAGAAAAACCCAGAGAGATTTGGAGTCCCTTTTATTATTTTTGGTGCTCAAGCCGGTTTGCTGGATACCTTAGAAAAGATAGACGCATTAAGCTCTTTCTTGCAGAAATGGAAAATCTCGCCGGTAGCAAACACATTCTTGCTGTTTTCCTCTCATCTCTGTAACCAGGCCCCAGAGCCTGACCTTCCCAGGCTCCGGCAGTGCAGAATCTATCTGAAAGATTAGCAGCGACCACAGGGCGTCGCCCTCCTTCCTAGGCAGAGGATTCAACTCAACCCTGTTTCCAACGCTTCGGGTGCTGCAGCTCTTTCTGCGCCGGGCGGGGAGAAGGGAGAGGAGGAGCCGCAGCCGCAGCCGCAGCCAGAGGCCGGAATTGTTTCCTGGGCTAAGCGCAGCAAGCTGGGAAAGCGTTTCCGGAAGGCTGGTTACATCCCGCAGCTGATTTTGGACGCTTCTGGTGTGGGCGAGAGGAGGGAGCAGCCCGAGCGGCGGGAAGGGCAGGGGTGAGTCTGGCGAGGCAGAGCAGGGCGGCCAGGTGCGCTCTGGTTCCCCTTTGCCTGGTCCCGCTGGGCTGCTCTCGGCGCCAGTGTGGGGCGAGCCGGGAAATGGCAAGACATGCCTCCGGGGCTGCGCCCGCGGGAGAGCGTGGGCTACGCTCTGTGCCAGCCGCGGCTGCTGTAGCAGCTGTGCTCCGTGGACGTGCCTGGCTCGCCTCGCTCTCCCTGTAGTGGCTGCGGGCGCAGGACGGCTCGGAGAAGGTGGCGGCGGCGGGGGATGCATCCCCGAATCTGTCCCATTAGCTCCACAGACTGGCTGCCTCTACTGGCCGTCAGCAGGGGTGGGGGAGTAGGGCCAGGTGGCGAGCTGAGAGGGAGCCGCAGCCCCTGCGCCTGTGTGTGCGCGCAGGAGAGGAACCCGGCGGCGCTGAGCTGTCTTCGGGGGGAGGATGCTGGCTGTGGAGATGAGCGGGTAAGGGAAAGTGCGGGGCTTAAAAAGCAAGAGGGAGATTATGAGTCAAGGCGCTGTAGGTAGGAAATGCCGGGGAGAAGACTGAAAAGGATTTCCAATAGGCAGGGCCCCTATAGCCCAGGATCTCCTCTCCGAGGTTATCCTTGTGGAGGCCCGCAGGAAGAGGAATGGGATATGATGTGTGTCGAGGACAGAGAGGTGGTGCAGAGCACGCACAATGTAGAAGTCATTTGAACAGTGAATACAGAAGAAAGTGACCCTTGGAAGCACACTGGGGTGTTTTGGAATTTGCCTTTTCCTTTTATTTAAGGACACCACTAATTAGCCAGGTTTTAAGTAATTTCAAAATCATGATTTACCTATCCAGCATATAGGGCCTTAACCTGCACTTCTGAAATGCATGGGATTTTTGTTGTCATTGTCTCCATTAGATCCTTTTAGCCCTTTATATTTTTCAAAGCATTACAGTCTCTGAGAGATATTTTATGAAAAGGTAAAAATTGCATAGTGGACATGCATTGAAAAGTCCAAAACAGACAAAATGGCTCTGACATTGGGTTGAATTTGTTAAGAAGTGGGAGATAGGGATCACAAGTCTTGCATTTTTTCTAATACAATAGTGTTAAGAGTCTCAAACTTAAGGAGGCAAAGCAGTTACTCATGACACTGGTAGTCTTACAGTATAATAGCAACATATACAGTCAATCTTAGTAATTCACCCTGAATTCTGCAAATCCCATAAGACTTTAAAATCCAGATAAGGGTACATCACTTTTAGCTGCTGCTGGCACTGTGTGCCCTTTAGATGCATGTCAACGTGCGTTATCGATTAATTCTAGATCTGATACTGTCATCATCTTGGTGTCGCTCATGCTTTAGTTATTTTGAATGCATCAGAATTAGCTGACAAAGTTGTACTAAAACTATTTTCTGTATGTCTGACAGTCTTTAAAAACAAGAATGTAGCGTATTTGAATAAATAAGAATTTATAATAGCGAACATTTCACAACATCTTTGTGACAAAATCCCCAGTGAAATTAAGATGAATAAAGTAGAGAGTATTCGGAAAGAATAGTTTTAATGTGAGTTTAGAATTGAGAGGAATTCTCATCAGTCAAGTAGTCCAAGCAAATATGGTATTCCCAATTAGGGAGACAACCAAGATTAGATCAAAATAACATGGGCAGTATTCCCAGTGGATAGGTCTCAGAAATTCAAGCCAGGAGAGTTGGGTTCTTTTTCTCAGATTTGTGGCTGACGACGTGAGCAGGCTTTGAAGAAGATGAGATATGGCCCAAGCTCATACTAAGAGACTGATTCTGAGTCATTGAAGTCATTGGGAAATCTGGTTCCCTAGGGCGTATGGAATAGGATTGAATCTGTTGCAGTGTTTGAATTATACAGAGTAGGAATTTAGGAAGCTTGTAAAGAAAGAACTTCTGTACTTGAGATGACATGAAATAAGGGTTTCAGCAAAGGCAGGGTCCAGGTAAAGATTAATTATGGCTTTGTCTATATATGGTGATAAGCTTGACTGACTCATTAGTCTTGCATCATTTTTATCTGTCGGATGAGGAACAAGGATGACCGACTCTCCAAGTCTTTTGGACTTGGATACAAAGTTAAGTTCCACACTGGTAATGTACACTAAAAATACTTGACATAGTCTAGAACCATCGTGTCCAACCAGTTCTGAAACAGTAGCTGCTATAATGGCTACTGCAGTAGTGAACTAGCCACACTCATCTGGCCAAATAGTCACATATGACTAGAGGCTAGCATGTTGGACACCACAGATCTAGAATATACAGTGCAAATAAACCATGCAATACTTCAGAATAACCCCATAACCCACCTCAGAACTCTTAATAAATCAAAAAAGTATCTGGCTTTAATCTCCATTTCAAACATACTTATTTGAATGTAGTCTTTCTCTGGTAATACTGTTTTAATAACATTATTTTAAAAACACAACAAATTGCTCAGAGTTACCATATGGAATCTCTTGTGTCTAATGTGTAGACATTGGACCAATTTTAAATATATGCAGTTATGTTTACTTTAATAAAATTATTTTGAGAAGTAGATTTGTGGCCTGCTCAGTGGCCATTTCTAAAAAATATCTTGCTAGTTGGATTTCCTCCCTCCCCCCCAAACTACTGAGGAATTAGGCCATAGCAATGCCTAATTGCATGCATGGTTTTAATTTAGAAGTTTTCACACAAAGAGGTGACTTGGAATGGTAAATGTCTTTATGTGGCTTTATAACTTGTTGAACTGACTTAAAAATATAGACCGGGAAAAATTTAAAACTTGTTTCTATATTGATTCTTGGATACCAGCTTCTTATAAATCCTATTTTATTATAAATCCCTGAAAAGAGGAGTCTCATGGAAAGGTGGTTGACTTTCAGTTGCAGTGGTGCAGATGATGATGTTAGTAGAAGATGGCAAAGATAATAGTAAAATCATCATAGAATTAAAAAAAAGCCATTTATTGAGTTTCTGCTTGTGGATTTTATATTAATGCCCATAATTCGGAGGCAATTAGATAAAACACTCACCAATGATTCTAGATAAGTTTATAAATATCTAATTGTATAATAGTTTCTTTTGTCCTGAAAGGACTCTAGATTTGGTATAAACAGGATTCATATGCCACTGAAATACAGCCCTCTTTGGTTGGAATGCAGTAAACATTTTTTGGGTGGCAACAATACATTAAAGTTTTTTAGGGAGGGAAATTAATCAAAACTATATGAAGAATTTTAGGGATGCACTTACAATGAAATTTGACCAAGATGTTGCCAAAAATACCATGGAATCTTTGAGGAAGACTTAATTTTACATCTTTTCTGAAAGATCCTGTGGTGCTAGTTCAATACGATCTTAGGCACTGATCTGCCATTGAACATGTGATGTGAGTTGCTACGAGGGCCCCATGGGTGCAGCAGTCTAACTGCATGGATCGGACTGCAGAATCTAGACCTCAATGGGAAAATATGTTGATGCTGAATCACCAGCTCTGTTACCTGCAGCACTGTGTACTGTCCTTGGACCTCACTTGTCCAGGTTTTAAAACACCAAATCCTATGAGATTTGAAGTGGCTCCAAGTTTTAACACATCCATTAGTGCATAATTGTCAAAACACCTCCATTTGCTGATTTTATTAAAAAAATTACCAAGCTTCTTTGTCATTTGGAAAACATATTTGTGTACTTATTCACTTTGTCATTTGGAAAACTACTGTCAAAACTAACTTTTTAATCTGTGTATACAAGATTACTGAGAATTACTATTTTTATATGTAGTCTTTAAATGAGTTAGGATGATTAAGGGGACATAGTCTACCTGTTAAAATAGTGATTTGAGCTTTAGGGTTGATGCTTTCACAGATGCCTTTCAATTGGGGTAGATAAACTGAGCAGACTATAGTTTACTCTGGGGAAATTATTTACAAATGTATATGTATATATTGAAACCTAGAGATCTGCTCATTTGTAGAGATTACATTAATTCTTTAGGTTCTGTACTCTTCCAAATAGTGTCTTCTCCATATGGACAATTTTTTTTATTTGGACATGCTATAAACTTTACTTGCTGTGATAAATTGTCTCCAAGCAAACCTTTTTGTGTGTCTTATGTATCCATGCCATATGTCATACGGAACATTCCCTCTAATCTTTTCCATGTATGTGCAGAATAAATTTTTATTTTTATGTGCATTGAGGCACATGTGAATGTGTAGAAATACAACCTAGCTGTGGGCACTCTGCTAATAAGCAAGGCAACATTTGAGTCTCTCCTGAGTAGCCACACAGGTGCATGGCTTACAGGGAACACTGGTCACAGGACTCCACTGTTTTAAAATTACTGTGTAATATCTCACAGTGGTACTGGTGTGATCACACCAAAATAAACAGTCATTTACCAGTTTAGATTCATTCACTGGTTGTTTTAAGTCTTTTGTTGGGAGAAACCAAGCTGTACTATATGGTTTGTTTGTTTTCCTTTTGCCTTCTTTACTATGCTGTATGTGTTAGGTATCTCGTAACAGACAAAGCAGACTTATCTGCCCCATGGTAAAATTCTGATTTTTGAAAACTGTAGGTGAATTATGCTATGATGATATGGTTTTAAACAGTGTTTCAGTTGATGTTAAAACATAGGTGCAACTGAATTTAAAAAAAATCACAAAAAGGAACATTTCCAATCCTTTATTGTTATTTTTAAAAAGTAAGATATCTTTCTAAAAATATACACCTGATGTATTTTTGATGCTATCAGTTTAAAAATATGTGGGTCACAGAATTTTATGTTCAGTAAAGAATAATTTTCCATTTGTTTATTAGCTAGTGGTGTTTCTTTCTCCACTCAGTGTAATTATGGAGTGTATGTAAGCACACTTAATTTCCAAAGGGAATGAAATTGGCAGACGTTGTTTTAATTTGTTTTTAACAGAAGAAGAGACTGATACTTGAAGTTATTATATATTTTGATAATGTTTATTTGTAGAGCCATTCTGTTCCTTTG